GGGCGTGCAGGAGGGAGCCAATTGATGTGTCTCTCACACTGATGTTTCTCTCTCTCTCTCCCCCTCCCTCCCTTCCACTGGTCTAAAAATCAATGGAAAAAATATGGGTGAGAAACCCATGAGGACATTTGGGTAACAAAGAGGATCAAGCAGGAGAGTGTAAGTGGAAGAGGCTCTGCCCTCACTTTCTGTTCTCTCCTCTCTAGTCTGCTCTGCTTCCCCCTCCCAGTAATCTCACCACTCCTCAAGTTCGCCTGTACATGGCCTATGCCCAAATCCAGGAGCTTGATGTCTCCACCAGGCCCAGACCCCCTCGCCTCTAGAGCGTTTGAGCCTCACCGGGATGTACCACAACTGGAACACTCAGAGCTAACTGGATGGCCCGAAGACTACAAGATTTATGTTTTTGCTTTGTTCCTAGCCCTATTTTAAAAAAAAAAAATATCTTTATTGATTTCAGAGAGAGGAAGGGAGAGAAAGAGAGAGAGTTGAAACATCAATGATGAGAGAGTCGTCATTGATTGGTTGCCTCCTGCACACCCCCAACCAGGGATCAAGCCGGCAACCCGGGCATGTGCCCTGACTGGGAATTGAACCACGATCTCCTGGATCCTAGGTCGATGCTCAACCGCTGAGCCACGCCCGGCCGGGCCCTTCTTGCTCTTTTTATTCTTGGTCCTACTTTATACTCATGTCATAATTTATAGCCCCTTTTAAGCTGCCTTTAAATCCTTCCTCAGTAAGGCAAGGCATAGGCAAACAAAAAATAAGATGCCAACAATAAAATCAATATAACCAGTCTTCATCTGGTACCTAATGGCCTCTCACCTTCTGCCTGGCTCTCCTGAAGCTGCCCCTTCTCCACTCGGCCCTGTTACTGTTGGTGGCACTGCCACCCATCCAGATTCCCAGGACAGAAAATCTGGAGGCTCCACTGACTCAGGTTTTCCCTCTTCACAATCCAGTTACCAAATCTTGAAGTCTCTCCCTTCCTCAGGTATCTCTCTTCTTTTCCATCCCCACTGTTTCTATCCCATCTCAGAGTTTCATGGGCTGATGATTTGTTTCTTTCTAAAATATATTTGAATACCTGTTCAAAAAATAACTTTATATTACAAAAAAAATAGATATTCACTGTAGAAAATTTAGAAAATGAAGGTTGACAAAAAGAAGAACCTGTCATTTTATCATGAGAGATAACACTGAGAGGACCAAAACCACCTGTCATTTTATCATGAGAGATAACACTGAGGACTTTTGGGTAAACATTTCTCAGTTTCATTTTGTCTTTTTAAACAAATAGCTTTTTCTCTTTTTTTCCTAAAACTCCACAACAAGGGGCCTCTAAGTTTATTTTCTTGGTCTTCCTGGTTTTGAGCTCTGCTCATAGAAACCCCAGGAACCACTGCAGGTGGGAGGACAGGCAGGCTCTCGCAGAAAGCCTGTAGGAGAGTTTGGGCCACCCTCTGAGCTGGAACTGAGCTTCCTGGTTTGGGGCTTCCAGGTGGCACTATTGATGACAACCCCTCCCAGGGGGAGCTGAAAAGTACCTTCCCAGGCTTTAGTCTACTTGTGGTTGGGTGGGGAAGGGAGTGGTCTTGTGCAATAGGGCAAACCACTCCTCATTCAGGGCTGTTTGTTTAAGTGAGCGGGATAGATTTGGGAGAAACAATCTGGTTTTTGTTAGTGTTTATTTCAACTGTTAGGACAAATAAGTTTTGGTGAAAACTCCCCAATATGGGTAAGGCAGGGTGGCTTATAAGAAATAAAATGATGGGAGTCCCAAAGTTGAATGCCTATAAACAGCAGGCTGTGTGGGGGCTGTGGACAGGTTAGCACCTGCCCAGCTCAAGAGGACCTGAATTTGGCACCTGCATTACTGCAGAAATGTGGGTTACAGATTGCCAGTCCCCAAGTTTTCATAAGAAGTTAGAAATGGATTTTTTAAAATGAAGTTTCCTGATTCTTTAAATGTTGGTAACTAACTACAGAAAGCACTGTTTGGTTCAAGGTGTGATTGCAGGCTTCCAGGTACAACCTTTCAGCTAGTCTTTACTGTACATTTGCTATGTACTCCACATAGGTTACCATGCCTTACTTACTGGGTGTGACTACCTCCCTCTCCCTGTGGTTCTATCTCTAGTGATATGGCCTGCTTACTTGTTCATTTCTTTTTCTTTTTTAAATTATTTATTGTTAAAATTTTTAAAAATATATTAATTTATTCATTTTAGAGGGGGAGAGAGAGAGAAAGAGAGAAACATGAATTTGTTGTTCCACTTATTTATGCATTCATTGGTTTCTTCTTGTATGTGCCCTGGTTGGGGATCAAACCTGAAACCTTGGCTTATCAGGATGATTCTTTAACCAGCTGAGTTACCTGACCAGGGCCTATCCATTCCTTAAATCTGAGTTTAGATCACTCCTTCACCTACTCAAATCCCCAAGTGCCCATCAATGTGGTCTCCACCCACCAACCTCCCAGCTTTCCTTCTCAGTGCTTGAGCCAAACTAAGCAGCCTGCTGGTCCCCAAACAAAACAAGATCCGTAATCTCCACTGCCCAGCTTTTGCTTACTATGATTTTGTTATGCCTGGAAAATCCATACCCATCTGCTTAACTTATTTTTATTTTATTGATTTTTTTTTTTTTTTTTTTAGAGAGAGGAACATCTGTATGAGAAACATTGACCGGTTGCCTGCTGCATGTGCCCCAACTGGGGACTAAACCTGAAACCTGGGTATGTCCCCTGACCAGGAATCGAACCCATCTTTTGGTGCACAGGGTGATGCTCCAACCAACTGAGCCACGCCAGCCAGGGCCTGCTCATCTTATTTTATACCTCCTCTGTGAAGCCTCAACCTCCTTCTTTTTATTTATTAATTTATTGGGGTGACATTGGTTAATAAACTTCTATAGGTTTCAGGTGTACAATAATACAATACATCNGTCTTTTTTTTTTTTTTTTTTTTTTTTTTTTTTTTTTTTTAGAGAGAGGAACATCTGTATGAGAAACATTGACCGGTTGCCTGCTGCATGTGCCCCAACTGGGGACTAAACCTGAAACCTGGGTATGTCCCCTGACCAGGAATCGAACCCATCTTTTGGTGCACAGGGTGATGCTCCAACCAACTGAGCCACGCCAGCCAGGGCCTGCTCATCTTATTTTATACCTCCTCTGTGAAGCCTCAACCTCCTTCTTTTTATTTATTAATTTATTGGGGTGACATTGGTTAATAAACTTCTATAGGTTTCAGGTGTACAATAATACAATACATCCTCTGTATGTTGTATTGTGCGTTTACCATCCCAAGTCAAGTCAACCCCCTTCTTAATCTCCATGGCTTCACCAGCCTCTGCTTCCTTCAACAGCCATTTGCCAAATACCTCATATCCACAAGCATGGGGGATGCTGAGATAAATAAGACCCCATCCCTGCCTTGAGGAGCCTCGCCCACATAAGGGCAGAATATACTAATCTGCCATGTCTGCTCAGCAGAGCTGTGTGAGCATGGCAGGATGGAGGGCAGCGATGAATCCTACCTGGGGAAACAGGGAAGCCTTTTTCAGGGGGATGACAGGGTAAGTAGGAGCTTTCCACGGACAAAAAGGCATTTGAGGCAGAGGCGACTGCCTGTGCAAAGGAAGGGAGGCGTGAGATTCTGAAAGGAGTCATTTGGGTGGGGATGGACAGAGGACAGCTGGGAAGCCACAGGGATAAGGAACAATTTGGGAACCAAATTGTGTTGCAGTATTTGCATCTGTTCTGCTTGTGCTACAGAGTGTAACTCCAGGAGAGCAAGGGCGGCATCTCAGTTTTCATTGCTTCACACCCGACACCTGCTTGGGGCTGTGTCCTCTGCTCAAACCCTTGCAGCTAAGAGAACAGCCAGCATCCAGTAGCGGTGATAGCGCCCCCTAGTGGCCCCTGCGCGCTCCCCACCGCCAGCAGCCTTGGCTGACCCAGGAGTGCCCTCCCTCCACCCCAGCGGTTCTTCACTAGGATGGAGCTTTGCCTGGCAGGGTCTCACTTCGTCTCTATCCTTCCCTAAGAGGAGGATGTTCCCTTCGGTCCAACAAACACTAAGCACTTACTCTGTGTCGATCATCATTCATCACCTCAGCCCTGGAAATGCTTTTAGAGAACCAAGGGATGATGGGAGTTGACGAATGCTGTTGGGACCAGAACAGGGAGCAAGACTGGAGCACTGAAGGATGGATGAGTAGCTGACAAATTAGGAAGCAAATACGCAGGCCCCATGAAATGGGAAGAGCCAAAACAAGGTAACAAGCTCAACCCCCTGCCATCTACTCAACATTTAGCAAACCACTACATTTACTAAGGGCATGGAGCATGCCGAGACCCAGAGATGACTAAGACACCATCTGTGTCTCCAGCTCAACCCAATGGAAAGGAAAAGGGGGTGCTCTGTGCTCAGGGTCCTGTTAGCAGACACAGGGGTGTGAAGCAGGGAGTGTCATCCAGTTGGGTAGAACTTAAGTTTAGGCTTAAAGATGAGAAACGGGGAGGTGTCTAGGATGAGTACAATAGGCACAAAAACATAGAGGCATGAAAGTTACCCATCAAAAGGCCCATCCTGGGGTGTTGGGACCCTCTGTTTCTTGATCTGGGTGTTTGTCTTCTGGGTATGTGCAGTTATGGAAATTAGCCCCCAAGCTCTCACGTTGCCATTTTATTTTTCTGTAGAGCACTTAGCACAATCTAAGTCTTTTGTAAGACTAGACTGGAGCCATAGTTAGGGCTTACATCCAGTCTCCCTGTACTAGCTCGAAGACTTTGAGAACTTTGTCATCAGTTTCCTCATCTGTAAAATGGAGATTATAGTACCTTCATCACAGGGTTGTGTCCCGAGACATGTCAAGCATTTACACAGTGCTTTGTATGTGCTTATCTTGACAAGACCAAATTTCTAATGATTGGCAGTACTTAGTACATAGGAGCTCAATAATTTGTTGAATAAATGAAGAAATGAATTAAAACATGATTTTTATTTTATTTTTTGGCACCAAGATGTGGCTCAAACAAAGGGAGGGATGTGGGTGGGAATGGAGTACCTCAACCAAAGGCTCCTGGGTAAGAGTTCAGAGTCTGGGAAGCAGCAACACTCCTGTAAAGCCAAGGCTTCTGTAGGTGGGGAGACAGTGGTGACCTAGGCCAGATGGGACCTGTGTCCCTAGCCCCAACACCAAAGGGAATGAAGATAAGCAACAGGGCTCGAGTTAGTGTGCCCGCCTCCCTCTCTTCAACTACACAGGCTTGTTGCCTGGATCAAAGCACAAGAAATACTTCACAGAAGCATGGTAGCTTCTGTTGGGCCCCCTACTCCCATGGCCCTCTCACCCTCCCCTCTGGTGGTCAAACTTGGCACTTCTCTCCACCCTCAGGGGCTGGGGCAGTTTCGGGAAGGGTGGGAAAACCTGCTAAACAGGGTGGCCAAAGCCTGAACCGGTTGGACTAGGCGGTCACATCTCCCCCCAGCAGCCCTTGTCCCTCTCCTGGCCCACAGAGCAGAGAGAAGCCCCATAGAACAAACCATTTTATTACACTGTGGGTGGACTGGAGCCTGTGGGAAGTGGGGGAGTTCTGGGGGTGTGGTGCCGGAGAGCCCAGGGGAGTGCAGGGAGCTTGGGGCAGCTCTGGTTCCATGTGCTAGGTCAGGCCAAATTGGGGCTCATTCTTGAGGGAAGGGGAGAGGCAGCAGAGGCCAGATAACCACTTTCCACTCCTCTCATCCACTCCCATGACATTAAATAAACAAAAAGCAACTCTGTACAGCATAAAATACATAGGGAGGTCCTTAACCCCGCTCTGAACTGTGCAGAGTGGGAAGGGTAGCTCTGCAGGACAGGGTTGGGGCCTCCAGCTTCTGTCGCTGCCCAGGCCCCTTCCCAATGCCACGGTGTGGGGCAGGCAGCTTTGAACAGGAAACAGACCTCCACCTTCCTCTGAAATCCAAGGTAAGCAGGTCCATCATATTCCTGACTCAAAGGCTGTCTCTCCTTTCAGGCACTGGAGCTTTCTCAGGAACAAGTGTCCTGAGCTTAGCTGAAAGGGGCTAGAGACCTGGCCTCTGAGGCAGAGAGGCCTGAGAAACGGGAGGAAGGGTCTGGTCCCAAAGTCTTTCCCGGCCCAGGCCTCCTTCTTGGCAAGGAGGAAGAGGGGCCAGGTGAAAGCTGGTGAGAGCTAGTGAGAGCTCGTGAGAGCCCGTGAGAGCCCGTGAGTGCCCATGAAAGCCCATGAGAGCCCATGAGAGCCCATGAGAGCCTGTGAGAGTCCCAGGCTGAAGAGCCAAGGCAGCCCCAGGCTCAGAGGGGTCGGGTGGTATGGTTATAGACCAGGTGCTCCGTGTCCTCGGTGGTGGAGACTGTGGAGCTGGCGGGGGTAGGGGGTGGGGGGTGGCCGTGGCGGTATCCGTGGAAGCCCTTTCTCTGGTTCTTGAAGAAGCAGTACCCCAGGATGGATACCACCACCACGATGCAGATGGTCAGGAGCACTGCAACAGCCACCTCCGCGGAGCCTGGGGGAAGAAAGGGCAGAATGAGGAGCTCCTGGGGCCTGCTCAGTTCTGATGCCCACAGTCCATTCTGTATGGAAAGGACCAAGTCAAATGGATGCCAGATGTGGAAGGACCTCCAGCACATGAACAGCTAAACGGCTCCATTGGGAGCTCAGTGGGACAGATTCTGATGGGCCTCGGTCCTCAGCTCCAGGTTGCTCTACTTACAGGTAGCTCGGAGAAAGGCCCGCGACTGACGGCCTTTACTGTGCATCCATGCACTTTACTGTGCTTCCCTCCCCTGCCATGGTAGGTATCACTAGCTTGTGACACTGTCCCTCTAGCCAACCTCGGGATCCTTCTCCACACAGGTTTAGGCAGTCACAACCAACTATGGAGTTGATTCTTGAGTTGATACTACTCATTGGTAACAGGGCAGACCAGGGCTTACCTATGTTGGGAATGGGGCTTTCCCGTCGCAGACCAAACACATCTTTTTCTACAAAATGATGGGGGAGAGACAAGTCAATATTAAGGGCTGACACTCAATTGCTCCCCAGTGCCTCAGACTCCCCATTGTCATCTTCTCTCACCCCCATTTCAGGGGCTCTGAGGACTCAGTGTAACCAGCCCAGGCTTTGGGACAGAGCAGAATGCTCTAGCTAAGCCTTTCCCCTCCCCATCTTCCAACCCCCACTGCCCTGCTCACTGGAGATGCCACGACAGGACTCAAGACACTGCTGCTCCTCCTCAAAGTTGTTCTTGTTGCCATAACAACCGCCATAGGTAAAGCGGGCACAGTGTTCCCTGAAGGGGTTGTAGTACCAGCGTGGGATGCTCTCCTTACAGAGGCCCGTGTCTGGTAGGTCCACACAGTGTCCTGGGGGTGAGGAGAAGGCAGAGGGGTAAGCAAGGCCACTAGCTACCAAGCTCCGCAAGGTTGCTGCCTGCCACCTCCCAACCTTTGTCACATTGTGGTTCAGTGAGGGCCTCAGGGGCCCCAGAAACATCTGGCCCATTTGCAGTGCTGCCAGAAGCAAGAAAGACAAGTCCTGGAGAGTAATCTTAGGCACAGAAGTGACTACCCTGCCTCACATAACAATTTCTTTTTCAGTCTTCTTTCAGCTGTTGTGATTGTGTCAAGGTCTCGGTTTTCGCTCTAGCACTGGTGGTCTACCTTTTACCAGAAACGGCTCAGGGTCTAAGCCTTGGCAGGCACCCATGTCCAGCTAAAATTCATTAACGTTGTATTATTCTACTGTACTTATTTTAATAGTCAATCTCAAGTTGTGGCATGTAATAGTGACTTTCCATTTACGGTAGTGATGTGAAATTTCCTTTTAATACATTAAGTTAAAAGAGTAATTGATTAATAAAAAACATTAATTAAATTCCATCTCAGTGATTTGTGGGCACGGCTACATTTCTGAAGGTGTTAAGAGGCTGACTATGCTTGGGATACACAGTCAAAGAAGAGAACTGGGAGCCTACCCTGGCTCTTTCTGCCCACAGCCTGGTAGACACAGCAAGCCCTTTCAGCACAGTGACAGGATGAGTGAGGATGACAGTGCCAGCGCCTGCCCTCACCCAGAGGACCTGGGGGCATCTCACCTTTGTCACTGGGGAAATGGAAGTTCTGCAGCTCCTCGAAGCCACTGGCATCTGCAAAGATGAAAGATTAGAGGCCCAACAGCAGTCTCCCAGGGGTGCAGGTGAACGGTCAGGACGTCCCCCTCTGCTGCCCACCACCCCTCCATGTCCCAGGCCTCACATTTTTCACAGGTGGCCTCGTCGGAGGCGTCGGGGCAGTCGGGAGTGCCATCACACTCCAAAAAGCTGTCGATGCAGCAGCCATCGCTGCAGTGGAACTCGGTGGGGTGACAGGTGCCAGAGCACACTGGGTGGGGGGAAATGGGGTGGAGGGTGAGGTCATACTCCAGCAGAGGCCAGCAAGTACCATGGGTCCATCATCTACCTGGCCCTCTCTACCCCAACAGAGCATCATGACATATCCCCTATTTCCCCACCTGTCCCCCATGAACTCGTCTACACATGAACTGGGCAGATCCTGATAGGAGGATGCTAGGCTGCAAGGGATGGGGTGCTTGTGGACCGTCCACATACTATGAAGGCAGGAATGGTATGGGGAAAAGCAGCTTGGTAAAGGGCATGCACATAACATAGGCTGAAGATCTCGCAGGGGTGAGAGGAATAGGGAAAGGAGCAAAGCCTACCTGGATGGTGCCTTTCCTTGGAGGGACCTGGGAAAGAGAAAAGAAAAAAGTGAGAGGAGACAGGGCCAGGCCCCAGCATGGATGAGCTGATGGGGGACATGGGAATGTGGGGCTCTCATGCCCACCACCCTGACTGCTGAAGAGAGACCACCCACCTTGAGGGAAAGTCGTCTGAGCCCCAAGGATGCCGTGCAAAGGCCCACCTTGTACACCGCGGCAGGCTAGCTTGCACTCTTCCTCCCGAAGGTAATTGTTCTTGTTGCCCAAGCAACCGCCATAAACGAAACTCTTGCAGATCTGTTCTGTGGGGTCATAGTACCAGCGGGGGAAAGAACCACGGCAGCGGCCCACCTTTTTGGTTACAAGGCAATATTCTGTGGGGAAGAAAGCTTGTGAGGGGCATCTACGGGGCCAATCAACAGAGGGGGGTGACTCCAGATGCCGCCTCCCCCCCTTCACCTTCTGTCTGCTTGGCGGAGAGAACGGTGACTGTGATGTTGGCTGTGCTCTCTGGCTCGTCTGAGCTGGCCAAAGTCAGCTGGAATAGGTAGGTGCCTTCCTTGAGTCCCCATAGTTCCACCTGGTCCAGATCTTTCCTCTACACACAGGAGTGGCCATTAGGCTGGGACCCCCTGATGCCCTTGGGCTACTCCAGGTCCTCCCAGCCATGCAACCCCCCAGGGAGAACAAAGGGACTTGCTATTAAATGTATCCTCAGCTTCTATCCACCTTGGCCTATAGGCCCAGAAAGAAAGGAGGTACAGGAGAGCTGAGGTGGAATCAGGGAGCCAGACCAGTGTCTCACCTCTACCCTGATGTCCGGGTCACCCTGCAGCAGATGCCAATCTGTGTTCTCCATATCCTTCAGTACCACAGGTTCCTGGGGCTGTACCTTCAAGTCTATGCCTGCCCAGATCTTGGGGAGCCGAGACCCTAGGGGAAGGTGAGGTCAGGTCAACTCTCACTGAATGGACCATCTAGATCTCTCCTGGGGTGGGGAGCTATATGGGCCACACCTAGACCAACCTAGGACTCAGCAGCCAGCATGGGGCACAGGTGGGAACCCACAACTAAACGATTTTCTTGCTCTATTTACATAATGTCTTTAGTGTATTAATGACATTTTTATGTTGTAAGACTCACTTTCTGAAACCAATTACTGTATAGCATGTGCCATCTGATTCCATTTAGGGAAAAAAAATGTTTTTAGGGGAGGCTTATTCCTATCTTCTATAGTAAGTAGGTCTTGTGCTAACTGCTTAAAAAAGTTAAGGCAACAATAATGTCCTGGCCAGTTTGGCTCTATGGTTAGAGCGTTGGCCTGTGGACTGAAGGGTCCCAGGTTCGGTTCCGGCCAAGGGCACGTATCTCAGTTACTGGCTCAATCCCCGGTGGGGGCACTTGCGGGAGGCAACCAATTGATGTGTCTCTCTCACATCGATGTTTCTCTCCCTCCCTTCCACTCTCTCTGAAAAGCAATAGAAAAAATATCCTCAGGTGAGAATTTAAAAAAAAAAAAAGTTAAAGTAACAATATTTTTGAAAAGCAAATAAGTAAACGTGGAATTAACACCTATCACTGCCTGTTCTCTGCTGCTGACAGAGACCAAAGCACAGAGTCCCCAGGCAGCAACATGGCAAGTCTTGGTGTTCCAGGGTGAGTGGCCACAGGAAGAGGGTGCCTTTGCCACCTCAGATAGACCCTGCCTCCAGTTATGAGAGGGTCTAAGGGAACCACACTCTCCCTCAACCTGACAGTGCCTGTGTCTGAGGCTTCTCTCAGTTTCTGGCTAGGGGTTGGAGAGAGAAACAAAGCATAAGGCAGGATTCCCACCTGTAGTGGGTTGAATGGTGGCCCCCCCAAATACATGTCCATGTCTAACCTCCAGAATTTATGAATGTGAATTTATTTGGAAAAAGGATCTTTGCAGAAGTAATCAAGTTAAGCATTCCCACATGAGATCATCCTGGATTAGCTGGGTAGATGCTAAAGCCAGTGACAAATGTCTTTACAGGAGATTTTTTAAAAAATTATTTTTACTGATTTCAGAGAGAGGAAAGGAGAGGGAGAGAAAGAGAGAAACATCAATGATGAGAGAGTCATTGATCGGCTGCCTCCTACACGCCCCCTACTGGGGATCGAGACGCAACCCGGGTATGTGCCCTGACCAGGAATCGAACCATGACCTCCTGGTTCATGGGTTGATGCTCAGCCACTGAGCATCACACCAGCTGGGCATGACAAGTGTCTTTATAAAAGACAGGATAGAAGAACATAGAGTGAAGGAAGAAAAGGCTTTGTGAAGACAGAGGCAGAGATTGGAGTTATGCAGCCACAAGCTGAAGAAGCCCTGGAGCCACCAGAAACTGGATGAGGCAAAGATGGATCCTTTTCTAGGGTTGTCAAAGGCAGCGGAGCCCTGCCAACACCTTGGTTTTGGACTTCCGGCCTCCAGAACTGTGAGACAATAAATAAATTTCTGTGGTTTTAAGTCACTCAGTTTGTAATACTTGATTACAGCAGCTACAGGAAATAAGTACTGTCTTTGAGGGGATTAGAGTCCAGTTAGGCAGATGAGACCCAACAACATGAAGCAACATGGGAGAAAAGACCCCAAGAAGATGAAGCAATATGCACGTATGTGTACGGGGTAAGGAAGTGGATGGCATCAGAGAAGGGAGAGGCTCTGAAAGACTAGAAGAATAAGGGAAGATTTTTTTTAGAGGAGAAAGGATTTTTTGATTCTTTTATTTTTGTTTTTATTTGTTTGGTTATGGGGAAGAATGTGCTGTGTTGTTGATGACAACAGAAAACATGAGGTGCCAAAGCAGAGAGTTGAGGATTTGCAAGGCTGGCATGGTAACATTAAAGAGACAAGCTGGCCTGGACAGACCTCAAAGGGCCCTGAATGCTAGGCCAGGGCACGTGGACACAGGAGGAGTGACATTGAAATGTTTAACAATTGGTGGTACAGGTAGGGGACACCAGCTGTGAGAAGCGGTGCAGAGTCCTAGAAGCCCTGGCTGCAGCAGATATTGACCTCCTAGATGCAGGATAGAGGTCCAGGAGTGCTAAGGCAGGGCGGAGGGCCTGGGGAGCAGGAGCTCTCTGGTTTACCATCTGTTTGGAATTATTCCTATGAAACAAGGAGGCTCGTGAGTGGACTGGTACAGTGGGTCAAGGCAGATGCAACAAGAGTGATCTGAATTAAGGGGCAGCTAAGGGAATGGAATGGAGGATGTCAGCAACAATGCTGGGCAGACACTTCAGGCTTCTGTGTCTGACAGGTTGGGAACTGAGGAGGAAGAGGCAGGGCACAGGCAGAAGTAAAACCAGATCCAGAGTAACTGTGCAGGTTCAGTGACAGAGAATTTAAATTTGAGGGAAGTAAGACCATCCAGAGGGGAGGTACACAGTGGGAGCTCCAGAGAGGCCACGGTTGGAAACAGATCTGGAGTCATAATTAACAAAGCTGCCACTTGCTGGATCTATACTCAGCACCATGCTGGGTACTTGACCTGCATTATTCACAACAGGGGTAGGCAAATGAGGCCCACAGACCAAATCCAGCCTACTGCCTAGTATATTTTCAAATGGTTGAAAAAAATCAGAATAATAATCTTTTGTGACATGTGATAGTACATCAAATTCAAATGTGTCCGAACCAGCCTTGCCTATTGGGTTACATATTGCGGACGGCTGCTTTCACCTCACAACAGCAGAACTGAGTAGTTGCGACAGAGATGGTATGGTCCACAAAGCCGAAAGTATTTACTGTTTGAAACTTTATAGAAAGTTTGCTCACCCTGATCTATATCACCTACTTTCCTAAACACCCTGCCACAATTGCATTCTTATCCCTCCTTCCAGAGGAGAAAACTGGCACCAGAGAGGTTAAATGACTTGCCCAGGGTCACTCAGTTTCTATAGGGCAGAGCTGGGATTTGAACTCTGTTCTGTCTGACTCCATAGCTCATTCTCTCTCCAAAATACCATGCTGCCGGCCACCTACTTGCTTAGAAGTGTAATTTGATTGCTTTTATAATCTTGGGGGTTTTGTTTTTAGTTTAGGTAATACATGCACAGGACGTGAATTCAAAGAGTACAAAAGTGAGAAGTTCCCTCTTCTCCTTAACCCCCAGGCATCTCTTTCCAGGGGCACCTACTCTTCCTAGTTTATGTGTGTGCATGTGTGTATGACTATCGATAGTATTGAGTTCATAAGCATGCAACATAGAGTTTCTTTTCTTTTTCATTGCACAGTACTTGTTGCATAAACACTCCATAATTTACAACTTATTTAACCATTCCACCAGTCTCCTCTTGATTTAGTTTTCCCTCCCTCCCTCCTTCCTTCTCTAACAACAACTAAACCATGCTGCCTTGGAGTTTATTATTATTATGAAAATATCACCACAGTATCCAATGATAGGGTGTGTTGGCAGACATCGTGATCTTCCCCATTCTTTGCTATTATAAGCAATGCTACAGCGAACAACTTGCTGGGAAGCTGTGTTACACATGCATAAGCATAGCCACAAAATGAATTCCTACAAGTGGAATTGTGATGAAGGTAATATGCAGGCTACCCAGTTGCTTAGAAGTGTAATTTGATTGCTTTTATAATCTTGGGGGTTTTGTTTTTAGTTTAGGTAATATATGTACATGACGTAAATTCAAAAAGTACAAAAGGGTAGTGAGAAATTCCCTCTTCTCCTTAACACCCAGGGTCCTCCATCCAGAGGCATCTACTCTTACTAGTCTCCACCCATGTTTTGATAGATATTGCCAAACTGCCCTTCACAGAGGCTCTACAGAGGGCATGTCCAATGTAAGAGGGAGTTCAAAGGAAGAAGAGAAGGTAAAGAAATAAGAGCAGCTGGCTGGGGGCTGAGTCACAAGGATTCCTCTTTGATGAGGCAGAGAAAGCAGATACAATGGAGGACTCACAGAGGGTGGTCACAGACAGATGAGAAAACCAGGACACACAGTGACAGCAAAGGGATAGGAGGGGAGAGCTTCCACAGAGAAACATGTCACATGATGCAGAGCCTACAAGAGTGTGAAAAGGAGATCTGGGTTCCAGGGGTTGAGGGGAAATAAAACCAGGAGAGCAGGAAAGTGTTTGTTTGGAACTGCCCCCCAGCCCGGGAGCTTGGCTGGAGATCAGAAGACCAACAGGGGCTAGCCCCAAGGCGACCTCTGAGAGACAAAGCAAAGGGGGCAGTGACTGGGAGGACCCTGTTCCTCCCTCCTTGCATTTTTCAGAAAGTAATCAGCTATCTGAAAGAGGAAAGAAGACAGACTACTTGGCAGTCTACCTAGCAGACAGACAGGCTAGCCCCACCAGCACCCAAGGTGGAAGAGGCAGGCAGAGTGATGTGTCAGACTTCGGGCCCAGTCAGCAATGTCCACCCCCACACAGCTGGTTGTCTCTAAGCCTCAGTGCCCAGGAGCAAGGGGCAGATGACCTGTCCTACCACGCCCTCCTTCCCACCCCCAAGAGAGCAAAGGGCCAGAGTGGTAATAACGCCAGCCTCTCCTCCAGCTGCCAGCCTCAGGACATCTCTAGGCAAACACAGACTCCACGTCCTAAGCCTCTCCAACAGAAAGGGGGAGAAAGCAGAAGAGGAAGGAGCAGGGTTCTCAGGAGGCCACAGGAATCTGGACTGGACTGGCCTGGCCACAGGCAGGGAAAGGGGAACAAACAAACCCACTCTGAGGAGCATTTCTCTCTCTAATAAAGGAATCAAAGGCTTAGAAGCACCTACCCACCTTGCCTGACATAATGACTTTATCTTGCTCTTACCTACCTCCAACCTCTCTAGCTGGACTCACCTGAGAATGGGTTCCTTGACACCACACAACTTCCCCCATTCCCCAAAGCACTGCAACACCCTGAAAATGGCCTGGACCTCACACCCAGCCCAAGCCCTACCCTGCTCCCTAAGTGCCCAGGAAATCCCTACTCCATCCTGTCTTGTGCTAAACAGACTAATCTGGGGGTGGGACGAGTCCAGATAAGGAAGACTGGTTTCAAGACCATGTGCCCCTGTCCAGCTCAGCTCCCTGACCAAACCCCAGAGTTTCAGGCCCTGACTGGCCTGGGAATAGGACTCCCAAGGGGCCACTGTCAGCGCATGATGGGCACAGGAGGCTCAGGTCAATTAGAGTCATCACCACCTACACTCTCTGCCACTTCCTTGTGGAACAGGCTCAGGTCCTGGCCCAGTGGGACTTGGTGGCCCAGCCTGGCCAGAGATGGTTCCCCGTCCTGGAGACCCGGGAGAACTCTTTGAAGGAGAGGAAGAAAAGTGGGCCCTTAACCTGGGAGAGACTAGTCCAGAAAAGGGCAGGAGAGGACAGTCCCTTATCCACTTTCCAGAACTGAAACCACCCCCAGACTCAGCCCCAGCCCAGTCCTGGCCCTTGGGCTCTGGCTCTGCTACCTGTTGGGCTGTCTTGGATCAGAGACAGGTTCCTTCCAGAAAGGTGGTCCTGTGTGAAAAACAGCACAGGACTTTTTTTTTTTTTTTAATATATCTTTATTGATTTCAGAGAGAGGAAGGAAGAGGGGGAGAGAGAGAGACATAGAAACATCAATGACGAGAGTCATTGATCGGCTGCCTCCTGCACACCCCCTACTGGGGACTGAGCCTGCAAACCCCGCATGTGCCCTGACCGGGAATAGAACCGAGATCTCTTGGATCATAGGCCGATGCTCAACCACTGAGCCATGCGGGCCGGGCAATAGCACAGGGCTTTTTGAGGTCCTACCTAGGGTTGAGTCCCAGGTCTACCATTTACGGACAAATTATTTAATATGGGAGTCAGTTTCCTAATCTGAAAAATGGGATGATGACTAATAGCACCCTTTTCAGAGGTGGTTGTCATGAGGCCTCAGTGAGAGGGTGAATGAAATAGTACAGCAATCACAAAGCTGTAAAGTGCTAACAGAGGTTATCAGTGGTGACCCATCCCTGCCCTGGAGCCCCACCTGGCCAGGACAGCAGGTGGAGAGAATGGGGAACGAAGGTCTCTGGAATGGCCCTGATCCCAACTAATTGCTCAGTCCCAGGAGGAAAGAGGAGGAGCCCCGGCCCCCACTTTGCCCTTATCCCCGGAAGTAAACAAGATGAGCAGACAGCTTGGCTACTAGATCCTAAGGCAGGGAGAGAGAGTCCTGTCTGGCTCACGCAAAACACACCTGCCTGGACAGCTGACATCCCTCCCCTACAAGGTATACATAGTGGTGAACTGACTCACCCACAACCCTTCTCACCCCCACCCCAGAGCCTATGGCTACTGTGCCCACACACGCCCCCCCTCCCCTTTTGGGTCAACCCCAGACTGGACTTGTTCTTTAGTGTCTGGGGTCTGGAAGTTTCCCCCAGACCACCAAAGGCCAATAGGCTGGGGAAGGGGTGCAGAGATGCTAACCAGTCCCATGTCCATCAGTGGAGGAGGAGACTCTCCTTCACCAGGCTCGCTTGACAGGGCCTCAAAGTGCCTCAGACTGGGCTAGGCCTGGGGGTGCCTGGCCCAGGGGGTGCCTGCTAGTTACCAGGAGGCCTCCAGACAGCTCATTCCCTGACTCAGAAGCATATCAGGGCCAGAAATCGAGAATCCCAGGAACTGTCTCCTCCACTCCACACACACATCCCAGAGCACCAGCCCACTCAACACCACCCTGAATTCAGGATGTCACCCCTCCTCACTCACCAAGCCCGTCCTTTGTTTACTGTTTATACTGCCTCCTTCTAAGGAGGAGGTGGTAGAGAATGGGACTCTTCTCATGAACCCCTTTCCGAAGCTCTCCTCTTCCAGGACTCCAGAACCAGCCCCTTCTCTGAGTCTCCCCAAACCCATCCATCGCCGCACCCCCGTCTTACCTCCAAAGCCCTGAGTCCGCAGCTCGCGGTAGGAGCTGTAAACCTCCCTGGTGAGGTAGTTGACGAAGCCCTCCTTGGGCGCGAACTTGCACACGAAGTTCTGCTCGTAGAGGCAGTTGATGAGAAAGCAGGCGGCGACGGCGTCCTCCCCGCCGGCCGGCTGCAGCTCCACCAGCGCCAGGTTGCAGCTCTGGGTGGTGCAGCAGGCGCGCACGCAGTCCCGGCCCCGGCGCACGGGGGGAGAGCCCAGGAAGGTGGCCCCGTTGCTGACCGAGGCGTCGGTGTCGAGCACGAAAGCNGGACGCGGGCCTGGGGGAGGGGGCCGCCAGCCATCGTCTTCCCGGGGGCCGTCGCCCTCCTGCGGACCAGGGTCACCTTCACAGTGCTGGCCTCTGGGCTCTGCGTGCGACCTGAAAGAGGGGAGGAGACAGAGGTGGAGGCACCCGGGATCAGCCGGGGAGCCGGATCCGCCCCGGAGACATCGAGGAGAGGCGGTCCGGCCCGGAGGAAGTGAGGGGGAGGGCTGGGGAGCACGGAGCACCCCGGGAGACCCGGCCGCCAGGCCCACGGCCCAAAGGACGGCTAAGGAGGTCACGTACCCGGACACACGCGCGAGCGCGGAACAAAGGGCCAAACATGCTCCGAACCCGCTCCGCCTCCCGGGCCCAGGTTACCTGCGCAGGTGATTGGGGTGGGGCCCGGCCCGAGGTTCCGGTCCCGGCTTCCTGCGCGGTTCCGGCCGCCGCTTCCGCCCAGGTGCGGGGTGCCCTGGAGACCCGCCTTCTCCTCCCCCTAGTTTCTGGTGAAACTGAGTCAGCGCGCCCGGGCGGGGCGGGCATTAACCCTGGCGCCGCCGCCCCAGCCCACGCCCAAGCGCCTCGCCCCGCGCTTCCCAGCCCAGCTTCCCGGGCACCCCTTCCGCGGCCCCAGGATCCCGACTCCTCCCCCGCAGCCTGCTCCCCGGAGGGGGTGAGGCCCCCGGCGCCCGACGCCCGAGTGCGCCCCTGGAGGCTGCTCTACGCCGGCTGCACCGAGTCCAGCTCGCGGGGGGTGGGGCCGCGCCCCGGAACAGCACCCTGACCCCCGAAGATCCAGACACGCCAGGGCGCTCCAGTGAAGTCCGGCACCTGAGGGGCGGGCGTTCCGCGTGGGGCGGCTGCCTGGGCTTCCCTTTGGGGTCCGGAGCTGCATTCCCAGCCGCTGGCCTGAGGCGCCCGGGAAGGGGCTTGGGGTGGAGAAAAGGGGGAAAGCCCCACGCAAAAGACTTCGCCGTCGTCGTCAGCCCTCGGGAAATCATTTCCATCTCGTGGCGGTAAGAGGTCCCAGAGGCTGTGTGGCTGCACCTATGATGAGTGGAATCCGGGTGACTGCAGNGAGAAAAGGGGGAAAGCCCCACGCAAAAGACTTCGCCGTCGTCGTCAGCCCTCGGGAAATCATTTCCATCTCGTGGCGGTAAGAGGTCCCAGAAGCTGTGTGGCTGCACCTATATGATGAGTGGAATCCGGGTGCCTGCACNCATTTCCATCTCGTGGCGGTAAGAGGTCCCAGAGGCTGTGTGGCTGCACCTATGATGAGTGGAATCCGGGTGACTGCAGCCGAGTCACCGTCCTTGCCGGTCCCGAGAAGCCCTTCATTCTGCCTGACTGAGAAACAGGCGATTTCCCGCTACCAGGAAAATGCGCTCCAGGGGAGGGAGCAGGAGACCCGTGAGCGCTGGCACGGACTCCAAAGTAAACCGACGGGTAAACGACCGCGAGAAAGGGCCTCAAACCACAGGCGACCACCAGACCACCCAAGGCCAATAGGCGGGGGAAGGGAAAAGAGATGCCAGACCTGGTGAGGGCGAGTCTCCTCCACTGGTGTGCTCGGGACTGGTTAGCATCTCTGCACCCCTCCCCCCCGCCTATTGGCCTTGGGTGGTCTGGTGGTCGCCTGTGGTTTGAGGCCCTTTCTCGCGGTCGTTTACACGTCGGTTTACTTTGGAGTCCGTGTCAGCGCTCACGGGTCTCCTGCTCCCTCCCCTGGAGCGCAGATTCCTTCCCCTTTACCACTAAGGGGATGCTCCTAGTGGAGAGTCCGCCACTCTCTTCAAGTGAAATGCTATCCTTGGAAGCTAGAGGTTCCAGTTCACCAAAGTAGTTGAGTTAATGACCTTCACAGAACCGCAGATTCCTTGAAGCCATGCTCATTGCTTTTCCTGAATGAAGGACTCCCCTTAAAGACCATTCCTTACAGAGCAGGGTTGGTCCTATTAATGCTTTTCCAAAAAAGAGATTCCACACCTTTTCATGATGACTTAACCTTCCCCCCTCCATGAGAAAATTCTTCCTAATTTATTATCTAAACAGCTTTACCTATTAAGTCTTGTAGCCAACCCTTTGGTCATTTTCTGGCTGAACTGCAACATCTCCCAGCTGCCCACATTATGAGTGGGAATCTGGGGTCTGTCTCCCTTTCTCTGGATGTTCTGAGTTTTTTCACAGCCTCTGGCACAGCAGTGGACAGAGGGCAGTCAATGATGGTATGCTGGGAATGAAATAGATGATTGTGCAGTTACTGGGAATAAAGGGTTTTGTGGTTTCATTCCTACCTCCCCCAGTACCTTATACATACCAAAATCCTAACAAGAGACTATTACCTTATGTACTATTATATTACCACAGATTTATCATTACATTCGTCATACACACCATTACAAAAACCTACTTTTATCAAGCACCAATAGTGCCCAAACCCTGCTCCTCAATACTTCTCTCATATTGCCTCATATACTCAAACCAAGAAAGTAGGTACTATTTTTATCCCCATTTTACAGATGAGCAAACAGGCTCAGATGGTTATCTAACTGGTAGAGTCATGTGGCAGGTGGCAGAATGGGGATTGGAGTCCCATTCCATTGCTTCAGTGGGCTTTTCCACACTTGCAGTTCTGAGTTCAGATGGAAGTTCCACTCTCACCTCAGATTCAGCTTGACTGAAACAAAAACTCATTTTCAAGTGGTGAGCAGCCATTAGGTAAGAGCCTGCCAGGCACTTGACATATATAATTGCTAATGCTCAGACAACTCAGAATAGTTTCCACTTTGCAGAGAAGTTTACTAACTCTGTCAAGGTCACATGAAGAGTGGGAGGCAGGCCTGTATAGGGGTTGAGCTTGCGGACTACTGGGTTTAATTCTCTCCTCTGCCGCTTCCTCTTGGTGTGCCTTAGGCAAGTTATTTAGTCTTTCTGTGCCTTAGTCTCCTTGTTTACAAAATAGGGCTTCATGGGGTTATTATGAGGATTAAATGAATTAATACAGAAAAAACATGTGACACCATGAGTGCTCAATAAGTGTTACCTGAAAAAAGTGACAGAGCCAGAATTTTATCCTGTCTCTCTGACATTAAAAACTACACTTTTCTGCCCTGGCCAGTGTAGCTCAGTCTGTTGGGCGTCATCCCATCCTCTGATACACCAAAAGGTTGCCGGATCAACTCCAGGTCAGGGCTCTTGGCTGGGTTTTGGGCTCTCTTCTTTCCTCTCTCTCTAAAAATCAATAAAAAACAAACAAAACTACACTTTCCCCACTACCTTAAGCTGCTTCTGACACACTAAAAAGAAAAACTACATGTGAGAGGGAAAAAGATAGTCCAACAAAATGGTGAAAGTGATGGCATTTGAAGTGGAAATATGGAGTAAGATTTTCTTTTTAGTTTTTAAATTATTTTCTAAGTTCCTTTAGTGAATGTGGCCTGCTTCCGTAATGAAGAGAGAAATACATCATGATTACCTCCACATTCCTCATATTTAACTCCAAATTGCTCTTCTCTCCACATTTTCTCCTGGCCTCATTGCCCCAGTCACTTCGGAGTTATGTGTACCCCCTGTCTTTCCTTGGACTTTCCCTGCGAACATCCAGACAGCCCCTGGGTCCTGACAGTCTTCCCTGGTAATCGCTCATATCTATCCCTTCTTGTTTATTGACACCGCTGTCCTTGCTCTGGGCTTTGTGCCAGCTTCCAGATGGACTTCCAGCACCCTGCACACTGCATAAGATTCCCTCCTCCAGCCCTGCCTTCATCTGCCCTTCACCTGTTCAGACCCTCAGTGACCCCCAAGAGCCTCTCTGACAGTGTGTACAGAGCCAGCTGTTACCTGGATGGATTCATGAAATTCTGTCTGTGGAGAGGCAGAGAGTGTCAGAGCTGTTGGGGGCCTTAGTTAAAGGCCTTCCCCTTACATAGAGGAAACTGAGGTCCAGAGATTTGTCCTTGATTTGTTCAGAGACATACAGCTAGTATGTGGCAAAGGCCAGACCATACTTAAAGTCTCTTGACTGCCAATCTTGGGCCCTTTCTGTGATTATGACCTGCCTTTCTACAAAGCATTTCCAGATGATATTGTTTTCAAATTCTATATTGCAGGCCCAGGGGCAGGTGTCTGGATGAATTAGCTCTTTTGTTAGACCATTTGGCTCCCTCTCCCTTTGTTAACTTGGAGAAGAAAAGGCCAGGATTTATGCTATAGTCTTCATTTCCTTTGAGATCAAACAAGTATGCCCTGGCAGGTGTGGCTCAGTTGGTTGGAGTATCATCTGGTACACCAAAAGGTTGTGGGTTCGATTCCCAGTCAGGGCACATACCTAGGTTGTGTATTAGATCCCTCACCCACCCCCTGTCAGGGTGAGTACTTGATGTTTTTTTCTCTCTCTCCCCTTTCCTCTCTCTCTAAAGTCAATAAGAATGTATCCTTGAGTGAGGATTAACAACAAAAAAAGGTGGTAGACCAGACCTCACCTTTCTATATGTGCAGGCTGCTCCTCCCACCAAGAGGGGGCGTCTATCTTTTCCCTCCCTTTGAATCTGTAACTTGCTTGGACCAATAGGACATAGCAGAAGTGGTATCAGATGATTTTTAGGCTTCAGCCTTGTGGCTTCCATTTGTCCTCTTTAGAACCATTTGTAATGTATAGACGTTTACCCTGTAGGAGAGAGGCCACCCGAAGAGAGCAGGAGAGACTGTCAGGGAGAGAGAGGGGTCCAGCTATCTCACAGCCAACCCCAGCTGAGGAGCTGCATTAAGCATTCTTAGCCCCAAACTAGTTGCCCCAGCAAAGATTAGCCGGACCTGCCAAGCCCTGCCCAAGTTGCTGATTCATAAACAAATAAATGGATGTGTTTGTTTTTAGCCTTTAAATTTTGGGATGGTTTGTTATATGGCAATAATAACTGAAACAGAAGGATAATATATTTACAGAATAAATTTTAGTTTTAATAGTCTAAGCAAAAGCCCACTAATTTCCTTGATTATGCAGAATCAAGGATTTTTTTTTATAAGGAATTTGGGGAAAGTATGCAATATTTTTTAAGGTAAGTTCATTGTCATTGGTTTAATCTTTATTTAAAGGAGACTGGTCCTTTCAGATACTGCTGCAGCCCTAAAAGGGGCATTTTTGAAGAATTTTTAAAATTTGATTTTTAGAGAGAGAAGAAGGGAGAGGGAGAGAGAGAAACATTGATGTGAGAGCAAAACACCGATTGGCTGTCTCCTGCATGCCCCCTACCCGAGATCCAGTCTGAAACCTGAACATGTGCCCTGACCAGGAATCAAACGGGCAACCTTTCAGCGCATAGGATGATGCCCAACCAACTGAGCCACACTAGCCAGGGAGAGAATTCTTTTTTTTAATCATGGAAGATGATGAATTTAGCAGAAATTGTACTTGCAAACTCCTCAAAGATAATTACAGACACAAGGTATCCTTTTAAAAGTGTCCCAAATTAAATCAAAGGCACATCATCAGGTTAAATACGACATTAAGAATTCATTTAATTTTTTTTTTTAATCCTCACTGGAGGATATTTCTTCCATTGCTTTTCAGAGAGAATGGAAGGCGGGGGGTGGGGGACATCAATGTGAGAGAAACACATCAATTGGTTGCCTCCTGCACTCACCCCAACTGGGCCAAGATTGAGCCTGCAACCGAGGTCCGTGTCCTTGACCGGAATCGAACTGAGACCCTTTAGTTCACCAGCTGATGCTCTAACCACTGAGACAAACCAGCTAGGGCAAGAATTCATTTAATTTGTAAGATTTTTAGATTACTTTGTTTTTAATCTTTTGCAATGTTCTGTAAGTCACATTTTTGAAGACATGAAATAATGTACTATTTTTTTAAAAGTACAACTACAGCCCAGCTAGTGTGGTTCAGCTGTTGAGCATCTACCTATNGCTAGTGTGGTTCAGCTGTTGAGCATCCACCTATGATCCAGGAGATCGCAGTTCGATTCCGGGTCAGGGCACATGCCCAGGTTGCCAGCTCAATCCCCAGTAGAGGACATACAGGAGGCAGCGAATTAATGACTCTCTTATCACTGATGTTTCTCTCTCTCTCTCTCTCCCTCTCTTTAAAACCAGTAAAGACATATTTAAGAAAATGTACAACCACAACTATAAAGTAAAGGAACTTAAAAACACAAAGATCAAAATCAGCTTCATACAAAGAATGGGGCAATCTAATATAGAACACAACATTAGACTTTCTAAACAAGTTTGCTAAGAAACAGCTCCCATATTTAGTGTTAAAAATAAAACTCTTGCCCTAGCTGGTTTTGCTCAATGGTGAGAGCATCAGCCCGCTGACTGAAGGGACCCCACTTCGATTTCAGCCAAGGGCACATACCTTGGTTGCAGGCTCGATCCCCAGCCCTAGTCAAATAAAATCAAAGGCACATCATCAAATTAAATATGACATTAAGAGTTCATTTAATTTTTTTTTAAATTCAATGCTTGCCTGCTACTGAGTAAGGGGCATTCCTGTTACATACCAAGGAGTGGAGAAAGTGCAAATCTATTCTAGGTTGCATTGTGGATGCCAATCTCCGTATTCTCAACTTGGTCATTGTGAAAAATGGGGAGAAAGATATTCCTAGTGCATTGTTGCCTGGGGCCCCAAAGACTATGTGTCTCTCTCACATCAGTGTTTCTCTCTTCCCTCCCCCTTCCACTCTCTCTGAAAAGCAATGGGAAAACATATCCTCCAAGGATTAAAAATAAATAAGTAAAATAAAACTCTTCTCATTTAGAAAAATCAAGACATCATTTTACTGAACTCAAGGGGTTTGTCACTTGGGGTGCTCTATTCAAAAGTGAGAGGTGGTAGCCAGGCCAGCATGGCTCAGCATTTGAGCATCGACCTAGGATCCAGGTGATCTTGGTTCGATTCCCAGTCAGGGCACATGCCTGGGTTGTGGGCTCGATCCCCAGTGTGGAGCATGTAGAAGGCAGCTGATCAATGACTCATCATTGA